ACTCTCTCCCTCATATAAATAAATCAGTCTTTAAAAAAAAAGGTAAGTGATACATGGGTTGTCCTCGGAAGGAGGTGGTGGCACGGAAATGAGGAGAGATGCAATGCACTTTTTGTACAAAAAGAACTGGCAGATGATAGATTTGTTCCGACCGGGAGCATCACAAATGACACCAAGTGGTGCCAGTGGTACCTACCAGTTACAGAAATGTGCATTTAGGGAAAGCACTGGGTAGCTGACTGGTTCGGGAAAGCGAAGAGAAATGGTTAGAAATAGAAGGAAAGCTCCCCCCGCTTGTGCGTGCTCTCTCTCTCAAATAAATAAATAAAATATTTTTTTTAAAAAAGAGATGGAAGGAAAGCTAAGAGAACACAGATAACAGGTTAAGAGAATTTCAAAAAGGGGGTCACAGTGAGAGAGCTGAACGGACAACAAAACAAAATGAGATGAAAGGTAAGGAAAGGATGACTGCCGGATGGGGTAACCAGGAAGCCACTGCTCATCTTTCGACCGAGCAGCCTTGTCAGGGCAGCAGAGGAAGAAGCCACACTGAAGACCGAGGAGGAGCAACTTAACATACGGTGTTAGCTGCTCAAGCCTAAAATCCAAAGCACCATCCTTTCCTCTCTTTCACGCATGGCCACGCCAACTCATCCAACCCGTAAGTCCATCGCGTTGTCTCTGCCTCCAAAATAGCACGTTTCTATCTCCTCTCTCAGACCACGGCCCAGGCTGCACTCAGGACTCCCCGTGACTACTGCAACAGGACCCTGTTTGCTCTCCCTGCTGAAACTTCTGCCTTCATCCCAGTCTTCCCGGGAACTCCCTGCTATAGCTTACGAAGCTCTAGATGGTGGCTTCTCAAATATGTGTGGTGAAGAACCAGTCCTCACCCCCCAGCCCCCCGCCCCATCCATTGTGGACCAAGTGTTCTTAGAAATACAACGAAAGTGAGTTGCTGTTAATCACATGCTTTGATGCTGCCGACATGTCAAAATGCTGTAAGTTCTCAACTGCTTCCCCTGGGCCCAGGCGGAGATGGCGTGAGGACTGACAGCCCACACACCGCACTGGAACCGCTCTGCTCTGAAATGCTCCGGCCTCCGCTGGCCTCTTGACCGCCCACTCTCTCTCTGCTGCATTCTGATCTAGCCATCTTCATCATGTTCAAGCCAAGTTTGACAACATCAGACTTGTTTCCCTAGAAGTTCTGCACCTGCTGTTGCCTTCGCCTGGAACATTCTGGCGCTGTGTTTTCCCATGGGTTGACTCCTTGTCGCTCAGGGTTCGGTCCAAATGTCACCTCAGAGGAGTCTTCCTGCACCATCTATTCAGGATCTTATTATAAAATATTTCAAACAATGGGATGCCCTAAATTAACCAGCTGGGTTTCCACAAATTTTTTTTTTTCCCCTTTTTAGAGTCTATGAACTGAAGAAAACAATCCACGTTTTAGTAGTTTTTCACATTTCATAGCAACTGGCTTCCTGGAGTTTTCCTTCCAGATAGATGTACAACAGGGCCAAATGGCAAGGGAGGGGTGAGCAGTCTTCTGAATGGCGGCTTAGTAAGATGATTAAAACTTGTGACCAGGAAGGACACTAGCTTCAGGAGGGTCAGGGTCTGGTCCTGGCTTTGGCAATAACTCACTTCCTGTGTGACTTTAAGCAAATCACGTCACCTTTGTCTCATTTTACATCTGGGAGAAAAAATGAGGCAAGTAGAGCACAGACTAATAATCAGAGTCATCACAGATTTTGCTGCCTAAGCAAGACACTTTTGAGAGTCAAAGAGGGTGCTATTCTTAATTCTGCCAGAACCAAAGACGTAATGCTGATCCTGGGGAAACCAAGACGGGAAACCAGGATGTCACCTTACTTCGGCTCACAAGTGTATCCTTCTCTAGGAACATCTATGGGTGTTCACCTTCCTCATGTTCTATGGCTGACTCCATCTGGCGCATCCTAGGTGCTCCTTAAATGCTCACCCCATTTCCTTTTTGGGGAGCTTTTCTGAATTCTTTATGTAATCAAAACTATTGAGCTGTTCTACCATTTCACCACCTTATAATGACTGAACTGTCCTCATGTCAAACAGCAATACCCCTCCTACTGACAACAGTTTTTCCAAGAAGGTAAAAATTTAGGTATGAACCTCCTCCTTTTTCAAACCAAAGAATAAGTAGCCAAAAGACCTATGTGACTAAAGTTCTGCCATGTTATTAAAAGGCCAGAATGGGGTGAAAACCTTGTTTGCCCAACCAGTTTGCTAACAGACCATCGCAACCACATATAACATAAAAGAGAGGAAAACTTAAAACACACACATTCACCTATACATTTTGCAAATCTTAGAAGCAAAGACAACAGTCTACCTAGACCAAAACTCTGATTGCCTGCCCAAAACCAGGTAAGCCCAAGGCTGACCTGCACTTACCCAAACATGGCATATAACAATTTGCTAGGTTTTTAAACAGTCAGTTGTTTTTTCCTAAGGAAAGCACATCTTGGCTGTAATAGATTTTCTTTCAGCACCAGTGCGATTCTATGCCTTAGGTGCTTAAAAGGGTCCATTTATTTACTTTTCAACTGTAACGGAGCTGGTGTTGGATGGGAGGGCAGTGGGGGAGTGAGTCCTGTACACAAGAAGACCTCTGCCCCTTACGGAATGTTCTTTTGCCATTCATTAAAGAACTATAAATCTGAGTCAGACCCATGGCTCATACCATTTATGGGTGACACAACTCAATATTCTGAGAACATTTCTGATTGAGGAAATGAATATCCATTCAGCCCATGGCAAGATCAAAAGGAAAGGCGGTGAACAAATGCTACAGAACATCCCAGGAAAGGATCTAGCCTTGGTATACAAAGAACTGGACATGTTCGTTTACTTCCTATTCTCCGGGAACAATCTCAGGAACAAGTGGTGGAGGTTACATAAATTACAAAAGAGACAGGAAAAGCTCTGCTGAGATGTTGGCAGGACCTGAATAAAGAACAAACAATCCTTATAAACAGAGAGAAAAGGAAAACACAAAGCAAAACCAGTAACACTTTCACCATTACGAACAAAAACTGATGAGTGAAAATCTGTTTTGGAGATTTCTCTAGAATGTCTGCACAAGCACTCATCCCCAAAGCCTTTAAGACTCTTTCATCCTTAAAGTCATATAAGGGGGCGCCTGGGTGGCTCAGTCGGGTCAGCGTCCGACTCTTGATCTCTGCTCAGGTTTTGATCTCGGGGTCCTGAGTTCAAGCCCTACATTGGACTCCATGCTGGGCATGAAGCCTACTTTAAAAAAAAAAAGGTCATATAAGATCCAAAGCTCAGACATGAAATTCTCTTTTTAAGAGAAGCTTCCCCAAACAGAGGAAGGCTAGATCTGCCTTCACTGGCCGAGGGGTTTAATCACTTTCAGAGTTGAAGAAATGCCTTCCTGAGTCGGGGTCTTGGATATGTCTCCTGCAGGTCACCTGCACAGACCAGCTAGTACCACACCCACCCAGAGGAGCAAACACAGAGGAGCATGCCTGGAATGTGGCTGGGCTCTTTAGCAATCTCATGGAAGAGCTCTGGGACCTTAGAAAAAAGCATTTCTTTGTTTTATAAACAAACACATAGGATGATGCTCCTTTTCTTATTCCCTCTGCTAACTTCTCAAGTTCATTTGGAATACTCCACTTTGGCTATTTTCAAATCTCAAATGGATTTTACATCAACCTGTCCCTCTTGGTCTTCTTTTTTTTTTTTTAATGAGAGAGAGAGAGAGAGAGAGTACATGAGAGTGGGGAGGGTTAGAAGGAGAAGCAGGCTCCTCGCCGAGCAGGGAGCCCGATGCGGGACTCGATCCCGGGACTCCAGGATCATGACCTGAGCCGAAGGCAGTCGCTTAACCAACTGAGCCACCCAGGCGCCCCTGGTCTTCTTTAAGAGCCTTTGAGAAGTTACTTCTTAGGCCAAAAGATAGGAAATGATCATTTAAAATGTTTTATGTGGACACTTGATCATTTTAATCTTTTTCTGATGTCTCTCTTTAATGACCCAGGAAGCACTGTTAAAATACTCTTAAGAAGGAGAGATACCTCCCTGGGTTTACTTTCGCTAAGCTTCTGATACAGTCTTAGGGCTGTTATTCACCAGCTGCCAGTCCATTTTAATCGCACCACGTGGGATCCCTGGCAGACTCCAGTGGAAGGGATGTGGAGGATCCCTGAGGACAAAGACTGAGGGGTTTCCCCTCTTCCTCTCCTGCTCCGCCCAACAGAACACCTGCCTGTGATGACTGTTTCAAGAGGATGCTTCCAGTTTCTGAACAAATAAATAGGTCAACGACCTCTAAATGGACCAAATCACGGGGGGTAGACTCGGAGGTGAAGCCCCCTTGTCGTCATCCACTGTGAGGCTGGCTGGCCCCTTAGCCATCGGGGCTCCAGCAGCCACAAACAGCAGGGCTGTTTATTTAATTTAGCCTCTGCGTCAACTCTGACGGGAAAGTAGATTCGTGAATGTTTCCCCAAACTGAGTATGTCTTTGGATAGAAATCATCAGGCTTTTTGCGGTCTCGTTGACGGTAAGTGATTGCAAAATGGCCTCAGCTCCCTCATCTAGGAAAACTTATGGCCTAGACTCAAACTACCAGGTGTCACCTACCCAGGGCTCATGGGTCATATCTTTATCAATGATTAAAATAAAGAGATTGTGAAACCACTCTCTAAATATAAAAGCACACCACCTAAAGCACAATGCATCCATTAGGAGTCATGAAAATGAAAATAATAATGTGCATCTCTCGAGACGTTGAGGGGATCACAGTGAAAAGATGAGCTTGAGCGAAGCACCTAGACCCAGTGCTTGGTGCATAGGAGGTCCTCAGCAAAAAATACAGTGTTTATTCTGTGTTCTACTGTTCACTGTTTTTAGGGAGTCTTAGATCAGGGCAATGACGTAGGGAAGACTGGGAGCAGACATTCTGAAACCCCGTCCCCGCACACACTTACTGCGTCTCAGCCCCGAGCAGCATCTCCACTTTCTCACTCGCGTGGTTACTGAGGACCGTCAGAGTAAAGAGGTGGCTGGCAGAGCTCTGTCTTGAATAAAGCATTGTGGCACTGTTCTTCCCTGGAGAAGAATTAAGCTCTTCGTTGTCACAAGATTCCACCAATAGCTGATCTCTTAAGGAATAATCATTGACGTTGTAACTTTCTTCACTAAAAGGAAAAGGGAAAAGAACATGTCAACAATTCAGTGGCTAGGACTGTGACACTGTCAGTTTTCACGTCACCTTTGGGGAGAAGATGATGGGGAGGAAGGAAGGAAAGGGAGAGGATGATTTATTTTAAAACATGAGCTGGAATCTGAATTACATATATACTGATTATGAATCAATATACACTTCCCAAATTAGACCTGTTAATGGTTATTTCTCTGTAATATGCTAAATTGTATCTCAGGTTTAAAAGCAGTATTAAGCATAATTGTAAACGCTCTAGCTTTCATCTTACATTATCCTGGAACTGTTATCACAAGTGAGACACACATACATAGCGGTAATGCTCAGATGGGTACGCTTCCCCGGTCTTCCCTCTGTCCACAGAATAAAGAGGGAGTCCCAAACCTACCCTGGCTCTGGGTAACAAGGGCTCACTCCCAGCCTCCAAACCACTAGGCACAGGACAGAAGAAGAGCCTCAGAGGTCTGCCTGAGCCGTCCTTCTCTCCCAACACACACAGCGTCACCACCTGCTTCAGAAACCACCAGCACTGATTTCTCTATCCCCACTTCTGCCCCAGATCCCCAGTATTCCTCATTCCCCTGACTCTCATCCCCGTAGCACTGTGAACACGCCTAATTTGGCTCTACCCTCTGAGCTCCTCAGCTGGTCTCTGAACCCCTTCTACTGGGTCCTCCGGAAATAGGCCTCATGTAGGGAATCCAGCAAGATCTTATAAATCCTCAGCCTTGTCCCTGAACCCTCCTTTTACCTTCTTGCCTTAACAGAAATTTGGCTCTCCCTAGAAAATGTGGTCTCCCCGAAGGCTCTCTGCCGCCTTGCTTCTCGTTGCTGCTGCTAGAAAGTGATCACTTCCACCTCCTAAAAAGTCTTTAGCTTTGAAGCTCATGCTGTCCAGCTCTATGTCATAATCAACGTCAGGGACAGACTCCTGGACGCGTTAGGAGTCATCTGCCCTTACGAGTTTAGTTGCTGGCTCACGGTCTCTCCCCAACATGACTTTCCTGAATTTCCATGGAGGGGAGCCTTCCATTACCCTGGCTTCTCAGTTCCTTGACTTCCCCTTCCTCAACCATCTTATTCTCTCTCCTTCAGCTACCCCAACCATCGTCAGACCCTAGACCTTGTCATTGCCATCAACTGTAACCTCTCTGTAATCCCAATGTCAATCACCCTCTCCAACCACCTATCTCTCCAACTCCCTTCTTCTTCTAATCCTCAACCCCAATGATTCTTTAGCCCACCGACTCTACCACCTTTCCCCTGTCCTTAAACCCTTCGTGTCCTCTCGTTCATGCTTATTAAATGACCCAGCTTGGGTTTCTTGGTATGTAGTTTTAATCACTCCGTGCATACATGCTCATCTCCTTGGCAAATCCCAACCCTGGTTAGATCCGGCTCTCCCTCTACTCTGCCTGCATCTATAACCCTTGCAGCTGAACATGGAAGAGCTCAAGAAAGAACTGCTGAATAAATGGATGATTATGCAATATATTCTAGGAACAAAATGGGCTATTTACCTAATTTAAAAATAAATGCAAATGTATGAACTCAGAGAAACTAAGAGAAAAGGAAACTCCTTGTGCCCAGTCAACTATACTAGGAATTTCAGGATAGGCCATTTTGCTTAAGATTTCTTAGAATTTCTTTCATTCAGTGGTGGACACATCTACCTATCAACCACTTCCTTGTAACTCTCCTTGGACAACTTTATAAAATCTTTTCCAAAATTTCATTTGATAGATACCCCCCTCAAAAAACAGCAAATACAATTATCTATAAAAGCAAAATACTTCCTTCTGATCAGGTCTAACTTGTTGCTAAGGCAATAATCTGTATTAACTGAAAGTTCACATGGCAAGATCGTTTCCAAAACTCTCCTGAAACTGCCTACAGACCAAGACAGCCATAGTCAGGATAAATAAAATATTTCTCACATCAAAATAAGGTTTATCAAAGTTCACACAACTTTTATAAAAAGAGAAAACAGGGTAATACACGGATAATACACTTTACAAATAAGGTTATTTAGATATATAATATATATATATATTTAATTTATATGAGGATGAGAGAGAAAGCAGGAGGTGAGGGGCAGAGGGAAAATCTCAGGCAGACTCTCCGCTGAGCACAGGGTCCGACGTGGACTTAATCCCACGACCCCGAGATCATGATCTGAGCTGAAATCAGGAGTTGGCCGCTTAATCGACTGAGCTACCCAGGCTCTCCAGGTTGTATTTTTTAAAGGCCAGATTTACCAGAAACAAAGCAGTCAATTTTTGGCAGAGCAGGAAAAGTTTATATTGTTGTCTAGATATCTTAAACATCGATTTAACAGCTCAGGACTCAGGATAAACACCAAACCACAAAACACAAAAGCAAAAAACCAAAAGCAAAACCTCGACAACATCAAAAACAAGAGAAGGAACAAGATGAATGAGGGCTTCTTTGTTACCATGCTCCTTCTGTTCCTCTGAATCTTTTGGTCCAACTCACAAGTTAAACAAGATGACCTGTCAGTCAAAGACACCCATTTCCAGTTAAAAATCATTCTGTTTGCTCAAACAGAGAAATCCAAGCATCCTAACGTAGTGTACATGGGTATTTAGGTAGTGCCCTAACCAATGACATTGCACACGTATTCTTCATAGTTCCAAAGAAATAAAAGGCAAAGGAATGTTTATGCCATAAAGCCATCATTCAAGATGACTCAAGTTCCAGCATAACATGGTTCTACCTATTTGGTAGTCCCCACTAGAATCCAAGACCAAGAGGCCACAGGAAGGCTACGTGAACTAGCAGGAATAAACTAGTTCAGGCTTTCTTTTCCTCTTGACTTTCTGAGTTCCTCTTTTCCCCAGTGTTTGTAAAACAATATCCGCCAGTGTGTTTCATTAATGCTCTGAATCTTTGTCTCCTGGGGGCAATTAAGGCCAGAAGAAGTAGAAAAATTAAGAGTGGTTTTTTTTTTTTTTCCATTGTTCTCTTAAGCAATGACAACCACAACACCATTAAGAGCTGGGGTGACTGTGGGTGACCCCATTTCTGCCTGTTGTCCTCTCAAATGTCCAGTGGGGAAGACGAACTGTAGCCACTTTATTTATAGCTCTGTGAGTTCACCTCAAGGTATCCGCTTCTATGCATCTGCACATCTGTGTCATTGACTATGGCCAAACAGGGAACTTGTCCCACTGTTTGGATTTCTGCATCCAAAACAGGACACAGGAAACATGTCTTTGTTGTTGTTTGTTTGTTTGTTTAACTGATTCAATAATAATCATCCAATACCATTATTTCATCTAGACCTGCAAACCTGTTCATTACACAATAACGTTTACAACTTCTTCACTTCTCTTTATTTTTTTAAAGATTTTATTTATTTATTTGAGAGAGAGAGAGTGAGAGACAGAGAACATGAGAGGGAGGAGGGTCAGAGGGAGAAGCAGACTCCCCGCCGAGCAGGGAGCCCGATGCGGGACTCGATCCCGGGACTCCAGGATCATGACCTGAGCCGAAGGCAGTCGCTTAACCAACTGAGCCACCCAGGCGCCCTTCACTTCTCTTTAAATAAACACCTTAATTTCATTTAACAGTAGTGAAATAAATTGATTATTTATCCTCACCCTCTACTGTTCAAACCCAACGGGACAAAAATGAAAAAGCAACTCCCTCTTTGCTAGCATGTTCGTCCTCTCCCACACACACACACTCACACACTCACCCTCATAAAGGTTCAAAATCATCCTATTTTCTCCTCTCCGAATCTGCGAAATACTGGATGAAATTCATTCTGCTGATGTCAGGCAGCACCTACTTGCTCATGTTAAAACCAAAGGATAACTCTGGGTTAAAATAGGTGCCTCAGCAGAAGGAAGAGGGGAGAATCCAGAGCCAGATGCAGCTACTTACAAACTATCCCCCTCCTCTGCCTTCTCAGCCACGTCCCATAAGGATAACGCAGCCTCAGCCGGGCTTGGGAAAGCAACCCCTTTCCCGAGGGAAGCTGATGCTAATCAGACTTCCCCGTGTTTGTCTCTAGCATTTAACAAACATATGGTTTACACAGTCTCTGGAACAATTTGGACCATGTAATTAGGAAGTTAAACTGCCCAGAAAAAGGCAAATGGAAAAACCACCTTTCCTTGCATGGAGAAGTTTATACGTAGACTTCCTCTGATTGTCTTACATGTGTTCCAAGTTTGGCAGCTGGGCGTCCAGGCCGCCTGCTTTGTGCAGGCCGCGGGCCCTGTCAGGTGCAGCAATCAAATCTATAGAAGCCTGTTGTTCTGTGGCGTAAACAGTGATGCTGCTGAAACCTACCTAAAGTCCTCGTAACCTCTGCTGAGATTCTTGTCTTCCTTTTTTTTTTTTAACTGAGCTCGAGAACTCTCTGTAGAGAACAGGATATGGTGGTAAACACATACCTCAACTATTCTTCCCTGAGGAAGGCAGTCTTTCGTTAGGCACTTCAGATAGCGTTCGATCCTACTCTAGGCCACCTCACGGCGTGGGTTAAAACATCATATACCTTACTGTGAATAGTGGCTTTCTTTTTTTTTTTTAAAGATTTATTTATTTATTTATTTATTTGACAGAGAAGGAGAGAGAGAGCAAACAAGCAGAGGCAGAAGGAGAGGGAGAAGCAGACTCCCCACCGAGCAGGGAGCCTGATGCGGGACTCGATCCCAGGACCCTGGGATCATGACCTGAGCCGAAGGCAGACGCTTAACGACTGAGCCACCCAGGTGCCCCGAATAGTGGCTTTCTTAAAAAGATTCTTATGGATCACTTTTAACTTTCTGTCCCATCGATTTCTCTAAAGGTTGGAATTTTTCATAATGGGCAGATATTTATTACTTTGCGATCAGGACAGCACGTTACAACTGCGGACAACATGCACACATTTTTAAAACACCACAACCACATACATCCACGTGCATTAGTGAGTGCAGGATGTCAGACTCCAGCCTCAGCGCG